TTTGCCGGAACCCCCTTTGAAACTGTGCGCTCTTCAGCTTAGACAACCTGGATTGAGACCCGGTTCCTATCAAAATCGAAGAGACCTCTTTCTCATGAGTTGAGGCAAAGGAACGAACGGTTTCAAGCGTGACCTGCAGTCTGGAGCGATCGATGTTGTCTTCGTTGGAAAGGCTGTTTCGATGACTGGGATTTTATTGATGTGTTTTGCTGAGCCATGATTTTCACCTCCAAATCACACCAACGGGAGAGTAAACGTCCAAATTTTCAGCATCTGGAAGGCTTTTGGAGCAAACACTTGCAACAGGACCGCTGCTCCTTTGTTGCTGTGTGCACATTTGGGATGAGCATCCTTTGCTTCTGGGTTTCACTGCTCCTACGAAAGAATAGACAAACACCCTTCAGGTTAACCCAAAAATTGCACTTAGTACCACGGACAGGCTTGTTGAAATCCTTCCGGAAAGCAAGCCGCACAGAATAACGGAAGGATACTTTGCTGTGAAAACGCCGACCCGACTTCAGGTGCTCGCACTTGGACAGCAAGCATAACTTCCTGCTGAAGCTTCTATTTCACTGGTACCAATTCATCCAAATTAAGCATCTGGAAGGCTTGTGGAGCAAACACTTGCAACAGGACCGCTGCTCCTATGTTGCTATGTCCAGGTTTGGGATGAGCATCCTGTGCTTCTGGGTTTCACTGCTCCCACGAAAGAATTTGAATACTCAAACATGTTGAGAAAGACTGGCTTGTCAGAGCCCAAAAATTGCACCTTCCAAAAGAGACACAGAGACCACCCTCTTGCACTGGGAGTTCTGTGTTTTCTTTGCCAGTCATCACTCCATAAACCCTTCTGCTTGACAGTCTGTCTGGAGAGCTTCAGTCAAGATGTCACGCTTCAGCTGAGCCTCCGCTCCAGCAAACTGGAGATGAATATCAGGTCCTGCAAACGACCATGTCTCGCTCATTCAGAAGCTGGGGATGTAACCGATGTAACCCATAAAAGTGGGGGAGTTGAATGGCTAATCTCAGCTATTCTCTGTTTAACCGTTAATCATAGTTCATCTCTATCTTCTAAAAAGAACAACCTGTCTTGTTGCGCCATGAGAACATGATTTCCGCACTATTTTTGGAAGGCGGTCCTGTCATGTCGCTAGAAACTTGAGGCCAAAGGGTAAGGAACGATTGCTAGGAGGGTGGGTCGAACATGGTCGAACCAAGAAGACGTAGAAACAAACCCTGACTTCTTCACCTGTGGAGCAGTCATAAGGCGTCGAAACTCCACTCCCCCCATCTAGATGATCGTTTGAAACACAAATCGTTGCAGGCATACGTAAATCTCTTGTTGAAAGAAATGCACCTTGCTCACGAAGATGCTGAATCAATATGAAACCAATGTTGCTACTGCTGATGATGATCTTGGAAAGGAGGAAGAGTAGGGGAGCAGGAGAACGCAGATGATGAGATGATGATGTCGAATCATAGTGATGAATACATGCACTGCTACTTTCACGATGTCTCCATGAACATCAGGAGAAAACGAGGGAAAAATATGGAAAAATCATATATCGCCGGCATGGTTTGTGGAGATTCGCTAATGAAAACAAGGCTGTATTTATATGGTTGAGTTTCATTTTTTCAAACTCTATTTGCATTGTTATTTTTTCTAGTTTTCCAGACCTCCAAATCCTCAGCCATTGCTGCCGTGGAGGGAGTGGGGGTAATGGGGTATGGGGGGAATTCCTGACCCGCTCAAAACGGAGGCTTCAAAAATGCCATAAAATTCATGCTTGGGTTTGAAAAACTGGTTTTGAGTAAGGTTCCCCTTTTGGCTGGATTTGAATTGTTCAATCTTCATTCTTTGTGTTTTTGGGAACCATGTTTTTAAGCGACAATATTGTAAAGAGAGCCTCTCTGCACGCCTGTCTCTGCGCCTTGCCTCCACACCTCCTGACCTTCCCCAGCAAAGCGACAGAAATCACCTTCAAGACGCATTAGTTCTGCGGCTGCGAACTCAATTCGATCATGAAAACACGCCCACCGCAACTGCCGCGCAACTGACGCTACCATCCACCAACGACCTAAACACGTTTACACGAACAAACAAAGTGTTGCACTGCACGTAACTTCTACCTCTGAAAATGCACCTTGATGCAACATGTCCACTGTGCAAAGTCTCATAGAGTTGCCCAAAGTAGCACGACAGAACACGCATACACTCAAGGCCCCTTCAACGCAGCAATTCCATTGTGCAAAGTCACCAAGAGATTGCAAAAAAACAAAGCACGAGAGTGCACTTCAACCTGAGTCACCTGGACGCAGTTCAACTGAGCGAAAAAGAGCCATGACTTGAAAAACACCAAAGCATGAGAGTAAAAAAAACGACACTGATCGAAATCACCTTGACGCAATGGTTAAGCCACTGCGAGCAGCAAATCGACCATGAAAATGCGCCCGCCGCACCTTGATGCAGCATTTTCACCGCGCAAAGACTCACTGAGTTGCAAGAAAACATAAAACGACGTGATGTCGAGGGTGTGTGAGATTGAGATGCTGTGAAGACATGAAGTTGAGATGCTGTGAAGTTTTGACATGAAGTTGAGATGCTGTGAAGTTTAGATGACATGAAGTTGAGATGCTGTGAAGTTTAGATGACATGAAGTTGAGATGCTGTGAAGTTTAGATGACATGAAGTTGAGATGCTGTGAAGTTGAGATGACATGAAGTTGAGATGCTGTGAAGTTGAGATGACATGAAGTTGAGATGCTGTGAAGCTTGGATGACATAAAGTTGACATGTTGTGAAGTTTAGATGGCATGAAGTTGAGATGCTGTGGAGTTGGGATGGTGTGAAAGTTGGGATTATGCAGAGTTGAGAAGGTGTGAAGTGCGGACTATGTGAGCTTGAGATGATGTGAAGTGGGGATTTTAAATTCATCCGCAACTTTGGGGTTTCTGCTTGAGACGTCCTTTTATTGTATACCTTTCGAAAAAGTGATTTTTGGCTCCTTCAACCCGTCCCCGTTCATGGTAGAACAGGACAAGTTTGTCTGAAAATAGGGAACCCTATTCTATCTCATGGTTAAAGAACTTGAGGCCCAGGGGTAAGGGACGAAAGCTAGCTTGGCAGGGAGCTTGGCACGAAAACACGATGCTGAGGATGCAGATGCTGCCGCTTTTGCTGCCGACATGCCAATGGTGTCCCCGTGGGGGATTGAGCCACGGCCAAACTGCTTGTGAACCAGCCAGGGGGGGAGGCTCGGAGGGGGGGTAGTTAAATCATAGTAAGTACGGAGTTTTTTTTTACAACAAACCCACGGAGCCGACCTTCCACCAACATTGTGCACATGGGATCTTCCGGCCATAGGACCCAAAGAACAAGAGAAATAAGGTGGGAGTTTCATGCGATGTGAGATTCCAGCTCCCCCCATACTTGCTAAAGCAAGAGATGCAAGAGGGACTTCAGCTAGCAGAAGCTAGCTTTCGTGACAAAGTTGTCCCAAAATGGCAAGAACTTGGGGCATCCCCCATTTTTACAACACCCCCTAACCAATCCATGATTAAATCACCACAAAAAATCACTGTACATCTCCAAATTTAGGCTTGAGATGCATTCCCAAATACACAAACAATTCCCACAAACATTTCATCAACAATCCCTTCATTGCATTCACAAATCTGAAATAACCTAAGCAGCGAATGATAACCCCAATGTCAACCATCAGGCGTGGTACCGGGAATGAGGAGTGCCACTGCCAGTTTCGGTCCTCTTTGAGGTGAGCAGCGTCCAGCTTCCCCAGCTTCCCCAGCTTCGCCAGCTTCGCCTTCGCCATGGCACCCAGCTGCGGCTGCGGAACGGGGGGCGTCCGAGATTTGGTGACCGAGAGATGCAGATGTTGGCCATGTAGGGAAGGTGGAAAAAGGGATGTGCCTTTTCTTTGGGATTCATGCATATTATGCATACGTAGGGGATATACGATGGTTGTGTTTGCATGGCCACAGCAAATCAACAAATTCGTCGAGTTTTAGGAGTCCTTGAGTTCTCCTTCGACTTCTTGAATCCAGTGACAAAAACCAAATATTCTGTTCTGATACAGTTCTGAACTCCTCGCTCTTGCAGCTGCATGGTTTCAATTGCATTCGCAACTGAGGCTTGAAAAGAATATCGGACGGAAAAGGCAGCTTCAAGAGCAGAACATGAATGAAGACAACGGGCTTCACTGGTGGTTTCAAACATTAAATGTGTGTGTGTGTCAACCCTATTGAAAAATGATCCCCAATTCCAGCGCTTCAAGTGGTTCTGCCAAAGGTCCTCAGTGCTTCCTTTGCTGGATTTCTATTCGCCAATCCTATGCCAATCATTTGTTGGTCCCCCCTCTGATTCCACAGGAGCATGCGCCGTTAGATGTTACTGGTGTAGGTGGGCCACCAAACTTGGAGTTGTTGCGCCGTTGCGCCACTCGTTGCGATGATGACCTATAGGATAGTGCCACTTCATCACGTCAGGATACTCATGAGTCCACTACAGTAGGCCTACCTCTACTGTAGCCTGCGCCATGACTATCCACCGGATTCCTTGGTGACTCCAATGTCCAAACATCCACTGGGGCCTAAGACTTTGATCAAACCAAAACCGGAAACAACTGTGTAAGTTGATAAGTTCACAAAGAATCTAAGACATGTTATTACATGAAAGAAACCATAAATGTCATACTTATCTGCGGTATATCTGAAGTAAACATTACTCTTGACAAACACCCACACATACACACATCTGAATCTGAGGCAGATTTGTTGTGTCTGTGTGTAGATGTCAATATCAGGCGAAGGGAGGGGTGTGCACGGGATATAAGATGTACGTAACTGTACGTATATATGATGTGCACGGGATGATCTCTCGTGCTCAAACTTTGGTCCCAAAAACAAAAATGATTTGGTCCGCCTAAAACATGACAATAACATGTATGTGGTCTGCCTGGGCCTTGAATCTAGACCCAGATTGGATTATTCAAACATCGGAAAACAGGACGTTTGTCCAGCGCTGCCTTTTCCAATAATCAGCCCCGCCTTTCTTGAATCGACAGGCATAGACACAACTTCGTATCCTCAGTTGGGACTCACTGAGGCTCAAAGGTGGTGTAACCATGGACTCCATGGACACACTGAGTTGGTCATTCTTAGCATTAGAACATTTCAACCCCCCCTAAATTCATGGCCAGCTGCAGGCCAAGCGTCCGCCAAGTCTCCTCAACATCTCATCGAGGACGCTTTTGCAATCGTCTGGCTGGCCAGAAACGACACAGTCTTGCATGGAGCTCTGCTCTGTGGAGTCCTCAAACTGAATCTCCACATCTCGCTCGCCCTTGATGTCTTTGATGTGCACACCGTTCTTACCCAGAAGCACGTCACTCTTCAGGCGCTTGCTGATCCGTAACTTGATCAAGGAAAAGTCGAGGTAAAGAGCTTCTTGGAGAAGCTCTTCGGCATGGTCAACTTGTCGTTGATTTCCACGAATTTCAACGAGGTTCTCTGCCTCGCGAGGGATCCTCAAGAATGCCTCCACAGGGCAGCAGAAGGCAGGTTCGCCGTGACAAAAAAGTCAGCATGATAGCAGCGAATGCAAATGGGGCTATAAAACAAGCAATTTGGGAAACTAGAAGTTGTTCCTTGGGACTGGAAACCTGTGATGCGATCAGCTCAACCTCTCACCTAATCATCCACCAGGATCAGAGTTTAATACCATCTCCACTCTTGCCCAACTCGTTTCCAACTGCCCTGGCATTGGTGATCAATGTGACAATCCAAAACTGATCAGTCCATCTAGAGAATGAAAAAGGTCTACGAAACATTATGAAACCCATCATTTTCACAGTCAGAGTGCTGTGACACTCATCAAGTGTACCCTCCGTCCTGAAACATGGCTTGCTGAAAATACCCCAGCTATAGTTCGATGATTTTCGCATCGAAGCACTATTAAAAGCATGAATTCCCAGCTAGCCATGTTTGATGACACCAAATGAACCAAGATTCCGCGAATATTCCGTTGGGTTTGCCGTTGAATATCCCCATTAAACGATATTAAACGTCCCAATTATATATGCATATCTAGAGATTGATAGTCTATCAATATGCCATTGACATTCCATTCCCTCTCCCCTTCCCCAAGATTCTCCCAGTCATCTCCAATCACTTATCGCCCGCCTCGGCCTCGCAGCCAATGGCCTTCAGCCGGCGCCACATGAAACGCCCTGCGTGGGGAAGAAGTCGCAGCTCCTTGGTGATTTGTCGATGCTCCTCGCGACAGCTCGCAACAGCTGGTGTCTCACCAGTCACAGAAGGGTCTTTCCTCAAGAGAAGTAAGCCTAAGCAGCTATATAAGCAGCTATACAAGACGGAGAAGGAAATTACTTTTCTATCTTGTCCATTCGTTGTTGGGCGTTACTGTAGGATACTGTAGGTATCTGTAGGTATCTGTGGGTTTAATGGTCGCTTTCCCGCTTTCATCTCTTGATGCTGTAGATGGTATGCTTCACTGCTCCTGTATGAAAGCCTTCAGCCTGGAGTAGACAAGCTCCACATCAGCAGTGGGTCCAGCAATCCTCACGGTCGTATCCGGATCTTTTCCTTGGCGCAGCGCATTGTGGGGCTTCAAGGGCTGATGCTGGAAAGTGCCAAGTTTCTAACTTTCTAAGAGCCTGCAGCTCACCTGTCCTTCAGGAATTTGCTGCAAAATGATACAAAATGTGAGCTTAAAATTCTCCCCCTTTCCCGTGAATAGCTCCCTGATGCTCCCTGCACGGCTAGTTCTGTCCGACACTAAAACTGTTTCAAGATGAGTCTAGAGCAATGAGCCACAAAATATCGCTTGTCTATGCGGTACTCCTCTAGAAACGTCCATGTTTTGCAAGCAAAGCAGAGTAAAATGATGTAAAATGATTGTTAGAAAGGTTCCCTGCCAGGCTTGGATTGGCTTTTATAGCACACCCTTCAGAGTCAGTTCCAAGTCTCCGACGTGGACATCAACAGAGGTGTTCTGGCGGAGTCGCTTGATGTTGACTCCTTCTTTTCCAATGATCATACAACGAAGGCGCCCATCGTCAACCTGCAACATACTGGAAGCACACAGGCGCAAAATGTCTCAGCAGATCTATCATTGGTTTGATAGGCTGACTAGATGTTGCTGGGTTTGAAGAACCAAGCCTAAGCTGCGACCCGCACCCAGGGCTGAGACGTCTCTCGTTTTGCACATGCATACACTGAGCACTATTCCAAATCCAGCAGTCGAAACAGTTCACCCGATCTGGCCTGCAACTGCTTGGAAAGAACGGTTGGCAGCAAATCTTCCAATGCTTTCTTCATCTTTTCCCGCCTTAGGGCAAACAGCGCTGCTGGATGTCACTCACCGGATAACCAGCGAGACGTGACTTTGCCAGGGCTGTCAGAGTCTGAGTCTGCAACGTCAAACATCAACAATGCCTTGCTGTGGCTTAATAAATAAGCACCAACCAACCGGCCAAAAAACTTGGCCAGTTTAGGGTAAAAAGCCCCCAATGCTTCGGGCAAATAATAGTTGAGCCAAACCCAGCCAAACTTCCGAAGAGTTACTCCGCTGCATTTCCCCTGATGTGCAAGATGTCATCCTTAACTGCAAACTTTCCGGGCAGCTTGCCAGAGAGCGTTCTGGAGAAGTAGCCTGGGGTCTCGCCATGGGCTTCCCCGAAAAGAGACCCGCAATGCCCTGCTACAAACATCATACGGATTACGCCATTCTTGGTCTCTGGGACGGAACTGGCAGCTGCTTTCAATGCAAGTCTCTGTGGCAGTATCTGATTGCTGGCATGTATGATGTAGAACAAGGTTTGCAACGGTTTCCGATTTACCCACCTTTGCATTGAACTATGGAGCCACAAGGCATTGCATGTGTCCCTAAGAGCTTCTATGCGCGTCGAGGCATCAGTGTGAAGGCACACAGAAACTGTACGTATATAAATCAGGAAGGTCACCCAGTTTACCACCAGCAATCCTCAAACCTACTTGCAGGATTCGCAGATGGCTTGACAGATACAATCTACCTTCAACCATGTTGTGCTACCATAACCCGCAAGAACAAACCCTGCCCATCCCTTGCCTCCCATGTGAGGCGGTAGGGGTAGAGCTTCCCAGCAGCGGGCTACGGCATTCACCAAATCCATCACCAAACCTTTCACTTCAGCGACTTCTTCGGCATCGCCACCCAGGTGCAACGGCAGCTCTCCTGCACCGTGGCTTACCAATCTGTCCACCCTTGTGGCTATCATCCTAAAACAGCTTGGAGCAACCACCATGTTGACTCAAGTTGACCAAGAACAGCTGGAACACATCCGCACTCAAAATGCCCAAGGAGTAGCGCTGACCATGCCTGATTCTGACCACTCATTGTCAAAGCTAATGTCAACTGTTGAGTAGTTGGATTCAGCTTGCCACCGCTGAAAACTGCTTCGTACCGCATCCTGCCAGCATGGCAGAAAAATCAAGGTCTTCCCACCTGAAAGAATCGTGTTGTTTGGTTTTTTCAGCAGTAGGAACGGAATCCTTTTCAAATTATCACAAGGTTCAAGCAACTAATTCATGGCAAAAGTAGGGAAACGTTGCAAAACCGCCTTTGATTCACCGCGCAAGTCATGTGGGGAAGCTGTGGACAACGGATGCCTTGCGTTTCGAAAAAGGCATGAAACACCGCACCTTGGCTCGAACATCTTTCAGGTCGACTGCTTCGCAGTGGAATGTGGACAAGATCCGCTGATAGTGCTTGATCCCATCTTCCACCTTCAAAAAGCAGTGGTTATGCATTGATTTATGTACTGGCACTGGGTTCATCATGTGGTTCATCTGAATTTGCAGGCACAAATTAGGACCCCACGGGCCAGGAACAATTTGAGGCATGGCAGTTGGCATTTATGTTCAGAGTTTAAAGAACGAAGCAAGCCAATCAGCTTGCTAACAACTGGGCATACCGAATATTAGCAGCAACCCGCATATTCTTGGCCCCTGCCTGCCGTTCATCTTGCAAAGACAGGACAGCCCCAACGGAACTGCGAAACTCCTTCCATTTCTGCAGCAAGAATCGTTTGGCAGTGCGTGGTGGATTCAAGGTCTCTGTATGAGGCGCAACTGTGTGATGATGCCGCAGTTCCACTGAATGCCCACCACAAACGGATGTGGCTTTGCGATGAAAGTCAGCTGCTCCGTAGTCTTCTTTGCTTGCGAATCTTTTGATTGGCACCTCGAGCAGACCCAAATTGGCTTTGTGTGGTTTCTTCAAAATGGGCTATACCCCAAGTTAGAGCAATTTGATTTGGGAGCACGATGATGATAAATCATTGGCTCTTAGATGTTGTGTGCACCCTATTCTCTCTTCCTTGAAACCTGCACTTGGAGTCAAGCCACCTCGTAGTTGTCGTCGTCAAAGGCCATGCGAAAAGCATAGAGCCTTCTGTTGTCCATGCTGATGTGCCGATCCCCGTCCTGGCTGAGGGATTCTGAAACACCAATCCTCCAAGTGTGTGGTCGGTCCTTCTTGCGGCCAAAAGCGAAACAATGGCTTCGTCCAAAACCGGCTATACCCGTAAAATCACGGACTGCATACTGACAACATTCCCCTTATCATATGGCGACTTGGGGGCAGTGCCTCATTTTCAGGCATATATCATATATCGTATACCCTCTGGCAGCCTAACCTGGCAATGAGAAATGCCAAAATCTCCACTACTTGTATTGATTTGTAGATAAATGTTCGAAATAGAGTGGGGTAGCTTCCAGCAACTCATATTTGATTACCAGAAGGTACCTGACCCTAAATATGAATTTGGTTAGTTTCGCCCCTGAACATTCTTAAACATCTCCATCTTATCCGAAAAATATATCATGTATCAAAGGATTGTGGTTACTTACTTATATCCTCTCAATATCGCTATAAATATTTCCATTTTCAGACAACCCCACATATCATATCACTGGTTGGTGGTTTCAACCCCTATGAAAAATATTGGTCAGTTGGGATTATTATTCCCAATATATGGAAAAATAAAAAATGATCCAAACCACCAACCAGTATCAAGTTGGTTATACAGCAACAATATCCTATCAACATCCCCATTCCCAAATTATCTTGCAATAGTATGCAATATTTATACCTGAAGACAGCTCAAGGATCATCAACGACGTTGATGTAGGGAATCTTCTCGATCACCCATGGATTCGCCAGCAGCAAGTCTACAGTGTCTTGCAGAGGGGTGCCATCAGTGAAGGTGTCTGCGATGGTGGCCTCCGGCTTCGGTATATTCAAATTGATGGTGTGTCCAGTGATAGTTTCAAGAATTGGTAGTAGTTTGTGCCATACGAAAGAAGACCAAGTTATTTGACCCTAAGAACTGGGAAACTTATATCCGTTGGTGTCCCTTTTGTATGGGTAGCAACTGAAGGTGAAGGTCACAAGTTGGAATTTGAAGCTCTGTCACTTTTGTCAATTGGCTGCACTCTTTGCCTGAGAGAACAAGATCTGGCCAATCCGACACCTCTCGATACGCCATCGATGGTTGCCACCATTGGAAGCCTGGTCACGAAAGTGCCAGAAAATTTGGGATGCAACGATGCCCACACATTGGCATTGCTGCACAACAGCATGTTGACATGTTGCTGGTCGTTTGGGTTTCCAGTCTTCATCTGTGCCCAGTGCAAGAATGGTTTTGACATGAGGCTCTAGTCTGCGGCTGTTTGATCACTAGGGAAAAAAACACAGAAAATGCTAGTGGTTCAGGGCAAGCACAAGGTACATTCCTTGCTTATCCTTTTTTCATATGGTTCAACAGTCATTGTGAGAACAACGTTCGCTCCACAGGGCCCCGTCCCGGCGCCTCCCACTTTTCCCAACAACTTGGGCAATATCCTCGATAGAGGTCCCCTTCACCGCAGGACTTGCACCACGCGGTATAAGCCTGGCCCAAGCAGAGCACTTCACCAACTCTTTCTGAATCGAAGAGTGAAATTCTACATGCCATGACCATCATGGCAGTGTCATCCTTTAAGCGGATGGGCGCTGAAACCTATCATGGGTCGCAGTAAATCATGATAAATCCATGGCATGTCCCATCTAAGTTGGTCATGGAAGATCCAGCACGAACACTTCCCCCATGGATAGTTTTATCTTTCCAATGCGACTACAGTCTCCACTGCACGAGGAGGTAATAAATTGATAGCCGGGTGCCTGCCAAGAATTCGAAGGCATCACGCCGAGCTTGAGCCAACAAATTCCCGCGGAACACCCGTTTGTTCTGAGTAAATACCATTGAATATGCCTAAAATGCATTTCACAGGGACTCCTGAGTTTCGATGGGTAACCACATCTGTTTGGTAAGGATTCATCGATTCATCCCTACAGGAGAAAAATCAAAGTAGAAAATGTTGCAACATCACCGCATAGTCGAAGCATGAAAGCTGTGCCCAAGTTTCTGGAACCATATCATATGCAAGTAGAACAAGTCAAAATGATGCGCATTCTCTCATATCTCCACTTTTCGCTCTGTCAGTGGCAGGTTCATTGCTCCATAGATGACGCGGCTGTGAGCTTGTGCACAATGACCGGAGAGAGTCAGCCGATAATTTTGGCGTGAGAACAAAAATCTCGAGAAAGCCTTCTGCACACACGGAAATGTGCTGCGTGCCGCAGGCTACTGATATCCGCAGTTGGGTTGCAAGTTCCACCTTTCTTTGCCCATAGATTTGGAATTTGGAAACAAACCCAACGCGCACGCTGATCTTTAGCAGAATAGTTCTTATCTGGCAGCTTCGGCAACACGACTGTAACATGATCGTATTTGGATTTTAGATTCTGCTGGTGAATGCGAAATCCGCTATTGACACCTTACACTGGGAGGGAGGGAGAAAGAGCGAGAGAGAGTGATAGAGACACTCCGAAAATGTGTGGGTGCATTTGCATCTGAAGCTCAATGGATGTGTAAACTGCTGAAGATACATGAAAATACTTTCTTGAGGCTAGTTCCCCACAAACTCTGGATGTTTCATTATACATTGCACTGGACTAGACAGGTGAGTCGCAGGCACTAAATTCAAGACTGGCAGGGAAAGCCATTGATGGGATATTGGAACCCCGTGGCCTCCCAAAAGGTCTAAAGCACACTTCTTCTGCCAAACATGCCTCGCACTTATTTTTGTTTACCTGTCGAGTGTTGAGACTCAGCCGTGTTTTTTTGCAGGTCAATCGATTGACAAAACCGTGCCTCAACTCGTGGGATTGTCTCTAAAATTCCCCAACATGCGTATTTCCATTGGAATATGGATGATGGACCATGGTCCCAATGGTAGTCTGGGGACGAATATTTTGAGACAACCCCATGTCAAGATGTCCACCAATTCAACTTTTCTCCTGCCAAGGGCAGCTGATCCCCTGGCGAACGCCTATGAGCCTATGGTTTTGCTGTGCTCATAGGTCTCATCCCATTCAGCAGCCTTTCGTGTAGAAGCTGTCGCTTGCCTCGGGCCCGCCTGCTTGGTGGGTAAAGAAGGGGATATCTTCCCAACTACCCCTGCTGGCTACAAGCCAAATGTCAAGCCCCAGTGAAATGATAAAAATTGGCTACCAATTTTCCAGGAATGTTACTTTTTGTTGAGCACCTTTGAAGCTGCAATAGCCCATTCCTTGCTGACCATTCAAATCAGTCAAACTCGACATCGGTATGTGTCACAATATCAAAAATACTGGCATCGACGGTGCTAAACTCAACGCCAAAGATTGTCACATACAGGAGTTTTTTGAAAAGGCTAATCGTTCTGCTATTTGGGGCGGCCTTGCAGGCCAAAGACACAGTGACACGGTTTGGTTCTGAAGCTTTCGCACATGGGAAACTTGATGTTTTGACCTGAAACCATTTCAACTGGACCCATAATTGATACTTAAAATTCTGCTCGAGCGTCTCTTGCACAAAAAGAGTTCGACAAAATGGTACCCGGTGGACAGTTGTGGTGCACCATGCATGCGTTCAATCCAAGAATCTGGGAGTTTCTGAGATACGCCCTGAGATTACACCTTCTTTTCTCTTTATTTGGCGATAAATCCAACACATCAATGGATATGTCGGGCTCAGGGCGTATTCCGCCACTTCCAAATTTCCTTGTGCACTTGTTGAGCTATAACCTGGTAGCAGCCGCTGGCACAGAACGGTGGCTCACGTGAGAGAAGCAGGAAAGCGGGGCCGGCATGATATGGCCCAGCAATTTGGCTCCCAAAATACAGTCATCATACCCATTAGTTCGATCGAATTCGAGCATGGTCGAGCGACTTGGTGAGAAATAATGCTAAATGGCACCAATTTGGGAGATTGTAGGGTGTACTGCGAGGGGGTATTTGAAAAATCCCTAGAAAGAAAATTGCGGGGACGAGATTTCAAAATTGATATGTTGAATATCCCCGTTGCTTGTGCCTTTTAGTCTCATGCCTCGATTTTAGCCAGCTAAAACTCCGAACCTACCTGCAAACATTTAAACCCAACGCTACTCTGGACCCTCAATTGATACCTAAACTCTGCTCGAGCGTTTCTTGCAGCAGGAGTGGTTCTCCCAACCGAACATTGCCAATTCCGCACAACTTTCACAGATTTCACACCAAAAAGACGAGTTGCTTGAAAAGGCTGCTCCGTCTGCAAATTAGGGGCAGCCTAGCGCCTCTTTTGCTGCGATGGAGTTTTAGGCCTGGGCTTTTTTGCGTGGCTTTCGCACGACTTTCACAGATTGGACACCAAAGACGAGTTGTTTGAAAAGGCTGCTCCGTCTGCAAACTCGGGGCAGCCTTCCGTGGCTAACAAACACGTCTTAGCATGGCTCGGTTCACAATCTTTCTCATTTGGGCAACTTAATGTTTGCCCAACATTATCCTGGACCCCCGGGTAGTCCACCTGGCCGTCCATGCAGGACAACTTGAAACTCCTTGAAGAGTACATGAAATACGTTGGGACGCTAAAATTGCACTAGCTACTCACAGACAAGACCCTAGCACTAGTCGTGGAACCCTTTACTTTTTCCACCGATCTCTGCTACATGCATAGGCAGCGAGAAATTCCTTTCAAACGAAGTGCCAGTTTGGCTTCCAATGGGATCTCGATCTGCGTTTTTGAGTGGACTCAAAATTACAATCCAGAGACGCTTAGCGACCATAATGCAACTTTGTTACCGGGTCTAAGATGCATTTGAAAGGCACTGAGTTTGATGAGGCTGAATGCAGAACCATGTTTTGCAGCTTCGTTTTGAGTGATTTGAGGGAAAGCTTAAAACAGGTCCTGGCCAGGCAAATGTTCCTGCCGACTGCTTGCTTAGTTCGCACTGTTGAGGAGATGGTAAAGGGGGAAATATTAACAGACCATACCTGAATGTACCAGCACATGCCAAGGGGTGCCGTTATGGCACCCCTTAGGGAGGGGGTGTCAAAATGGCGCCCCTTTATTTCTAAGGTGTTTCTCAACCTGTTTTGGGTCATCTGGGATATACATTTCATCTTTGCTATCTGAGGCCACGGAAGCAATGCGTGTGAGTTTTTTTTTTGGCACCCCCAAAAATGGCGCGTGTCAAATGTGTCATTCAGAGCAGCTCAACCCATCCAAGGATCATAATCTGACCAAAAAAAGGGACTGACTTTGCCAGTTTTTGCCCCTCCTCACGCTTGCTTGGATCGGCGACAGCGATCAATGCAATTATCACAGTTTGCGTGTCGGGGGGATGTGCAGGGGGTGCCAAAACGCCACCCCTTTAGGCTAAGGGGTGTCGTTTTGGCACCCCAAAGAACACTCGATAGGGGTTCCAAAACGTAGCCCCTTGGAAGGTCTTCACCAAAAATGAAGTCGGGTGCGCAACAGATGCCACGCGGGTGGGATTGGAAGATTTTGGGTTGGAACTCATCATTTTCTGGTGTGCCATCTCCATGAACGCTAGTCCATTAGGCACCCCTTAAGAATCCCAATTCTTGAAATTCATTAGGCACCCCTTTGAACGTGCTGGTAGACACAAATTTGAACATCCCAAGTCCACTTCCTCTTACTTTTGTCTTCCGATCGTTTCGTCTGTTGCTCCTGCGTCCAACTTCAACTGCGGCACTTCTTGAAGCGTCTCGTGCTGGTCGGGGGTTCTCCCGCCGACCAGTCAGGATCAACTTTTGGGTTGCGCGTGACAGATCGTGAGAAACATGAGAAACCCCCCAAACACAAACACGTATTTGTTTACTTAAATATTGGCTTATCAGAAAATGGCCGTGACAGCCAGTGACACAAAACCAAACCTTCTGGATAAGCAGAAAACGAATAGTTTTGGCAATCTTGATGTCCTAATTCTGATTTCCAAAATTAGCACGGAAAACATGCTGCGCTAAGTACGGGAATTCGATGCACTTTCCAATTTTTAACGCCTAAGGTTAAGAAATAACTCCTTTCTCATGAGTGAACTTGTCCCACCACCTTTTGATCTTCGAGGTTGCGAATGATTGTTTAATGTTGTTGATGCAGCGGTCAGTTGGAAAAAAACTCGGTCCACTTTGCCAGTTACTGTAATACCAAACCGACTAAGCGAGTTCGTCAGTGAGTGCCTGCAAACTGGATCCTGCACTGAAGCTCGGTCGTGATCTGATTTCTTGCTAGGCTTCCAAGAAGTTGGCAGGCAGACAGGTTCCAATGCAAATAAAGGAAGCACAATTCGCTCCAAATATCGAGGGCCAGCTCTTGGGGAGTAATGTCGTGGTCATGTCCTGATGATCTCCCCATTGTTTCTTCGTGAACTTCCCATCTTTGTGGCTGACCTGGAGATTTTCCGCTTCCATGGCGCGCCGTGGGCCGAGGCATCCGATGGCTTCGAAAACCTTGGGATTTTAGCCACAAAAATTGCTGGGAAGGATGGTTATGTCGGTTATGTACATAGCGGTCGCAACAAAAAGCGGCTCATTTAACATGTTCTCAAACATATGGAAAACTTGCTTTTTCTTTTCTGCCATCCGACTTGCTAAGGGGGGTCCGCAGCGCAATTTCACATCTGTCCGTTCAAAAGTCTGATAAAGCTTGGAGCTGGATAAAGCCTGCGGGAAGAAGTATATGGCCAATATTTCATGTGCACCCCCCCATGCACAAAAGTCATCTTACAGCAACTCCCAAGTTAGCCCATACACTTTATTGAAACTCTACTTCTGCATCTTTCTGGGTGATATTTATGCACACCTTGTCCAGCTGACCCGTAAAGGCACACCTGAGCGAAGCCAGTCACTCAAGGTCGATCTTAAGAATGGTGTGATGACCCAATGGTGTAGGATAAGTCTGAGTCATATCATGAAGTATTCTAACGCCTGTATCTATCTATATATTACAATCCCCCCCCCTTTACGGGGGGTTGGGGGGAGTAAAAACTGAAATATTTCCAAAAGGGGTAATCACCACCACCACCATGACCACCCATCACCACCAGTATGGCTAAGTTCCACACAAAAAGGGTCCCTGCGGTGCCTTTTCATCTCTTTCGACATTTGGTCGCATGAAGGTCGCACTGTCGATCTCAGGTGGAGCGCATGCTTCAACCCGCAAAACGAGGAGATGCTTGTGGTTCCAGTTCCTGCATCTCTGCTTAAACATCCTTAATTAAACCAAATTCTGGGGCAACAAAAGTCCCACACATTCCACTTGAGATCTACGTGATCAGCACTTCAGTTCGCTCGCATCGGTCACTCGTCGCGGTACACCCGGAACTTGTTGTTCGACGGTCCGCCAGTCCTTGATTTCAACCAGCCTCCGTCTGCCGGGGTGCCATCCAAAAGCCGAGCGACCGTCTCTGGCCAAGCCATTGTTCGAACATTTCTGCAGGAACGACAGGTTAGGGATGGATCTGTAGCACATACCCCAAAACTGGATAGTGAAACTGAAAAAATGGCAGGATGCTCTCAGACTTTGACCCACATCTATATTTCTCCACAAAATCATTTGTTGTGATACGCGGTATCATTGTGAATGTATGTATGTATGTATGTATGTATGTGTATATATATATGATATGTAATGTAATGTAATGTAATGCAATGTAATGTAATGTAATGTCTGTCTGTCTGTCTGTCTGTCTGCATGCATGCATGTGCGTGTGTGTGTGTATGTGTGCAGTGTGTATTTGTGTTCATTCAGTCATTCATCTATTTATTCATTTATTTACGTATCTATACATATGAAATTAATTGAAATTATATGAGTACAAAAATAGATAAAGACGAACTTCACAGTTCATACCAACCGTGTTGGCCTCGAATTCCAAATTGAGATGCACTACGCTCACCAATCCTGTTTACGAATCCTGTCAGCACCAAGGGGTCAGGTGGGTCCCCACTGGGCCCGAGGCATCACCGGCATCACCCCAAAACATGGATGGTTGATTTGAATCCTAAAGGTGTTCTGCTGGTTGTAGCTCCACTAGTATATAATTACCCTCTGGTAAACATACAGAAAACTATGGAAAATCACCATGTTTAATGGGAAAACTCACTATTTTTATGGCCATTTTCAATAGCTATGTTAGTTTACCAGAGGGTATCCCATGGGTCATTCTGATCATGGTCAAGTGTCAAGGCACATGCTCATGCCTGCAGCCAATCCGTGGTTCCAAATGTGTGTTCTTCAGCCTTGAAACGCATGCTGCAAGCAGCCTTATATTTCATTGGCTGCTGCTATCTCCATATTCACTGGATATCTATGGATATCTCATCTCTCTCAATGGTTGCAGGGGTTTTTATGCAGATTCTCATTGGCTAGTCCACACACGTCCTTGTTATGTATATGTCTACATTTCCATCGCCTTTGGACAGACAGTTAGCCCCAAAAAGGGCCATTGGTGGCGTGGTGAACTGCATGGTCAACCAAAGCGGCGATCGGTGCCTCGTTCCCCGTTGGTGGTCACTGGCTATCTATAACCCGTTGTGGACCTCTACTACCGGGGTCCAAAAACAACACGTAGTACCCAGCCAGGTACCCCCAAATCCAATGGTTTGAATCATATCATCACATTCATTTGAAACTGGTTTAGCAGTAGCAAATTGGTGTATCCGCCCGGCTGTTGTTTCTCAATATCGGATAGCCCCCCTATAAAAACCACCAAACAAAACACATAGAGAAAACCGTATGCCACGAGATTGTTCAGTACTTTTCCACCTTTTTGGGTGGCTGCCCAGGACTTCGATTGGTTTCGTTGTTGTCCCAGGCTCCTTCCCCCAGTTGTGGATCACCCTGTGCCGTTGGCAGGCGAAGTCCACCGTAGGGCGATGCCTACATCGAGAACGAATGCGGGTTCAAGCCCCAACCAACGGGCTTTCACAAGCCGGTATGAGTCAAAAAGAGCTGGTAAACCCTTCTGCGCACTGTGAACCCTAAAATAGCAGTGATTTATAGATCGTCATCCCCCATTCAGATATTTCAGCCACAAACTAGTGCATAGAACAAGGAATAAACTATTAATACTGGCTACTGTATAAGTATATATATATGTGTGTATGTATACTAGATTACTAGTTTGTTGGTTATGCACCTCAATGTGAAACATATGTTGAATTGTAGGTCTCACCTTTCCAGTGTTGCAGGACCGAAAGCCTTTGAAAGAAGAGGTCAATATTCCTCAAAGTCTACATGAGCAAGCGGAAGTCCAAATGAAGTCTCTCTTGGGCACGGCCGGGGAAGCCACAACGGAAGAGCATATGGTTGAAATGGTCAAGGCGTCTATATAATGATTGATGGTTGATGGGATCGCTATCTCCAGCCCTATGTGTAGTATAGTCGACAATCGCCCTGATTTGGTTTTGCAGCCATGATAAACTTTTAAACGATTCAATTGCATTGTATCCAACTTGGTTTTCCGGCGGCTAGATAGATCTTTGATATGATATATTATCGATATATGGATCTTATTTTTATCATATGAGTTATACCGATATCAATCAACATGCTAAGGAACATTTGAAGGCTCATTCACTTCACAAGACCCAATGGATCACCAAATGTGGGCGCATGCGGTGACTTGAATGCATGCATGCATGATTCGATCCAACAATCATCATGTGAATTTGTTTTTGTGTTTTACTTTATCCAAGACCTGTCCTTGATGTTACGATATTAACCTTAGGATATGGGCCACCAAACTGAAAGTGAAGCGGCCACTTGGTCCAGATTATCTGATTGATTTGATTTTTAATTGGCAGTATCTAAATTGCCAAGTTGGAGATGTAGCAACCATCCTTGCTGCTCAATCTAAGGATGAACCAACAAATTGGATTTGTGTGGCCCCAATGGGTGGACTATTCTGAGAAACCGTTGCTTCCGAAACGACTATTGTTTATATATGCTTTTGAAGGCTGGGGTGGGAGACAGCACTTTTTTCCCGACAAACTTCCCATTTTCAACACGTCATGGACCTAATTTACCAGGAAGCTACAGAACCAGGTCATGGTGTGCTGGCGACACCACTGGATCACTGCAAGTGCTGTTTCATCAACATCTCAAAAATGCCAAAACAGAAAGCCGCATTCGTGATCAGTAGTGCGGAAAACATCCTCGTTTGAACTTTACCCTCTGGTAATTTAACATAGCTATTGAAAATCACCATTTATAGTGGATTTTCCCATTGAAAATGGTGATTTTCTATAGTTTTTTGTATGTTTACCAGAGGGTAAACGCTGATCAATCCTCGTTGTTTCCATCCTTAGTCCTATGATGTGCCCCAACATGATGTACCCACAATGGCTTTGAAAATATTTGCACCCGTAAATCCATTGGTTTATCCTATGGTTTCCCAAAACTAACAAAATGACCATAGCTTGGAATATCCCCCAGAGACAAACCCATTTTCTTCCCCGTATTTCACCTCTGTAGCAGTCCGCTCACATCAAGCATCCGCCTGCGCAGATGAGTCCACTGTGGTCATCCCACCATTCTTAGGGAGTCCACAAAATCTCTATTTCTTGGAGTATGGTTTTAAATACCCCTCCAATGGTAGAATGGGGCAATTTCGGGGATGGTTTATTGTTGGGTTTGCCCGATTCATGGGTATATTGTGTTCACTATGTAGAGACGCTGGTAACAGTATACACTAATTACATGAAAATGGATTGAAATCTCAATCCCCAAACGAATTAAGTGCTGCTCCTAAATCGGACTAGCGGCGAAACCACCATCATCAAATGTCATCAAATGTCATCAAATGTCATCAAACTCATCTATAGATTCGTGACCCCCCTTCCCGGAAAGAAGGTCCCTCCAACTGCCATTCCTTTCTTCCAATCCCCATCTTACCATCCACGACGCCTGCTTGGGACTGGGTGTGCCCACTACCATCATGGGCACCGACGGCGGCACCGGCATAAATTTCGGATCCTTCAAATCTCCCAGGTCCATTCGCTCGCCAAGCTCGAGGCGTTCCATGGGCACCGGCGACCCCGGCGCCACCGGACCCCCCACCGCGGGACCCACTGCGGGACCGACGTTGCCACTGCCCACGGGCAAAGCAATGTGGGGCGCCACACTAGCCACGCTGCGCGGCGTGACGCGGGGCCGCGGCTCAAGGTCTTTGGGCATTGGCCTGAGAGTGGAGGGTGAACGTTCCCTTCTGATCAGCCAACCTGGTTGTTAAATGTTGTTAAGCAATCAGTAACTGGGTATCACACATCGAGTGTGTAAGCCCAATGAAAATCAAAACCTGCAATATTTATATCATGTTACCATGTTATATCCATATGCCCGTATTCTGTACATGTATGTATATTCTAAATATATATATATATATATACAGTATATGCAAGTGCTTATAGCCCACTTTTCTCTTCTTTGACATCGAGTATAGCATGCTCAAGTCTTCAGTCAGGGCTAGATTGTTTTCCCCAAGGTGATTCTCATCAACCCATCACCTTGTCAGTTCTCCAACCCTCCGAGGTTCGTCAATCCCCTGGTAAACTCATGTTGTAAATCCATCGAAATTCAAAAAAAATAAACACGAGAGAAACTGATCCCATCCTAATATCAAACACTCTCATTCTGTGGCCCAAATAGATGGTTTTATTTGTTTTTAATTCCTATATCATGGTTTCTGGGGGGGTGTTTGATCTGGGGACAAGGATGACATCTGTGTCCAGCATCGTATGACGAAATCCTGCACCACTTCATTTACAGGCTTTCAGAGTTACCAAATGTTAAACCTTCTATCATCCCATGGGGGTTCATAGTTAAACCAATAGTTAAACTAATAATACTTATAGTGATACCATATAGTTATACCATATAGTTATACCATATATATATATGTATATATGTATATAGTGTCCAATACTTAAACAGTTTCCAACCTTCTCTCCTCACTTAACGCTTCCCTTAACGATTCTCCCAAGGAACCTACAGCATTGACAGCACACACTGCAGGACACCCATATAGTTTTACCATATAGTTGGACACCGACTGCTGCACGGCCGTGGCAGGAAGTGGCTTTTTTTGCGTTTTGAACGCATTTGAAGGGTTGGGGTGGGGTGGGGCATGTTAACGTTCCTTGTAAGTTGCACGCATGTTGGATGCTACGCAACTGAAGGGTTGGGGTGGGGTGAGGCATGTTAACGTTCCTTGGAAGTTGCACACATGTTGGATGTTACGCAACTGAAGGGTTGGGCTGGGGTGGGGCATGTTAACAATCCTTGTAAGTTGCACACATGTTGGATGCTACGCAACTGAAGGGTTGGGGTGGGGGGGAATAGTGTTTCCATATTTTCTGTTGCAATGTGGGAAAATAGGCAAGGGTGTCACAAGTACAGTGCGCCCAGCATTGTCTCTTCTTGTTTTACAGTTCCAATGGCGCAGGTCCATCGGATCAGTCTCTAGTGCTAAGTTCTTGCAAGAACTGTCGCGTGTGTTCGCGGAGCGTGGACGTAACTGAAGGAAGAAACTGACGCTGCAGCTGCTGACGATCGATATGATCCTAAGGATGCTAGTGATGATGCTGAAGATGATGATGCTGTGATGATGATGATGATGATGATGATAACGATGACGATGACGATGACGATGATGACGATGATGATGATGATGGTGATGATGATGATCATGATGATGATCATGATGATGATCATGATGATGATCATGATGATGATCATGATGATGATCATGATGGTGATCATGATGATGATGATGATCATCATTATGATGATGCTCATTATGATGATGACAGTGCAAATAAAACAAGTAGTTTTCTGAAGCGACGATGATGCATTTTCACATGCTGGATGTGCAAAAATCATTGTTTCGCTATAGCGGCGTGCTTGTTTTCTATTCACATCATGGACATTTTTACCACGGCCGCGAAACAGTCATAAATCATATAGTTATACCATATAGTTATACCATATAGTTATACCATATAGTGATACCATATAGTTATACCATATAGTGATAACATATAGTTATACCATATAGGTATACCATATAGTTATACCATATAGTTATACCATATGGTTATACCATGTAATTATACCATGTAGTTATACCATATAGTTCTACTATATAGTGATACCATATAGTTTTACCATATAGTTATACCATATAGTGTCCAATAGTTAAACAGTTCCCTTAATGCTTCCCTTAACGATTCTCCCAAGGAACCTACAGCATTGACAGCACACACAGCAGCCCAGGCTGGCCGCGATGACGCCCACAATGCAGGACACCCAGCCGAAGGCCGAGATATAGACCTCAGCGGAAGCAGGCTGGAAATCTCCCTAAGGAGATATCATGTTTATATATATGCATATGTATACACATGTAGAAAAACATATGTATGTATATAAATATACATAATCGCATCTGTACATGCATATATTTAATGTATATGTATATATATATACATATGTATATATATATATGTATATGTATATATATAATAATTCTATATATATATATATAACTGGTAGACAAAGCATGATATGGACATGGAAATCTGATCCCAAAACTCTCTCAAAGTTATCATTTCGCCACCCGTCTTGGGCCTTACCGAAAAGATCCATCCATTGCTGCCCAAGGTGCTACAAAAAAACCTAAGGCATGGCAAACTTGGGAGATGTCTTCCTGCAACGGTGAAGATGGCTAAAGCCGCTAAACATCAACAAGTTGATTGGTATCAAATTGGCCCTGGCTCAAATTGGACATAAGGATAGGATAGGAATGATGATTACACAATCTGGCATCAGGAGTTGGTGTTTACACCAACCAGCTTTACACCAGCCAACCTGGCCTCCTATACTGTTTCCTCCACGCGCCACCCGGCCAGATGGTCGGCAGAATGTCGAAAGGATTGATACGCCAGAAACTTGTAATTGCTTCAGCCCTGAAAAATCGGATCTGTTGACTCTACAGGGGCCCATGTCAAGGGGTGTGGCAAACCCAATGCTACCTGCAAGTTCAGAGGCTTTATACGTATATGTTTCAGTTCCGAAGAGGCTAATATTCATACGGTAACACACTTTAGAGGACATAGCCCAGAAAGATTTCTGAGACTTCTCTGAAAAAGCGTGTTTTTATGTGTAATTACCCTTAAGTACCACCTGAAATTTCCTGTTTGATCCAGGTAAAAATCACCTCCCGTATCGCTGAGATTCATCCAGGCCGGGCCCCGCATCCCGCCGTCCTTCTCCTGGGTGCTGCACTCGAAGCCAGGACACCGATCGCTGCACACGCTCTGCACGAACGGCCCGCAAGCGCTCAGAGATCCCAACCTGGCGGCCGTGCCGCGGTGACACCACAGTGGTTCACCGTTTTGACCCCTTTGTTTCACCGGAATCTGAGTCACCAAAAAATAACAACATTGAAAATAGCCTGAATGTAGCTGAGCCAAGAAAATCTGATTCAAAAATTCGATTTGATAAAAATGAAGTCTGAGTCAACATAGTTTGGGGACTTGACCCATGATCTATTCCGACATGAACAAAGAAGAATGTACCATGATGGATATTTGTGCACACAGATTCACAGATATTAAATCAAAGTTCGGATGTAAGCAGTACCTAGGAATAGTTCGCTGGTGGTCAGTTAGTGTGCTCCCAATCGCCCAACTGTTTGCTGAAATCTTTGGGAACCAATAAAACTACCAAAGGATATAATTCATGAGTTTACAAGAAAACACACTTGAGGGAAACGAACCCGAGAAAAACAAAAAAAACAAGTAAACATGAAAACGAGAAGACAGCACCCAAAAAAAAACATGTGGGTCTTTCTTCTGCTTGGTCCAGTTGGTTACTTGCAACTCTCAGCGATGTCCTGGAGCCGGGAAATCATGGCTCACCAGCTACCATCGGTATCTGCATGGCTGGTTTAATTCAAATCTAAGCCCACAAAATTTCTTGCTTCCGAAAAATCCTCGTTGCTTCCCATTTCTTCAACCATTCTCCTCTAGGAAATCTCCAAGAAATTCTTGTCCCCCAGGTCCATCCCCAAAGTCAAGGCACAGTGGCACCAGCAGGGTTAAGATGCCCAAGCTGATGGTGATGGTCGAGATCGCCTGTTTACTTAACGTGCCGGAAAAAACGAAAAAGCCAGCTGTGATGGAAAAATTTGCAGATTTCGACATTGCCATGTTTACGAAGATGGTAAACCAATTGTGGATGGTATAATTTATAATCACAAATCCACATTATAGTTTATACCATCCATAATAAATTTTATAATCACAAATCCACAAATCCACGAATCCACATGAGTTGAGCTAGTTTTTCATGTGTATCAACTTGGCTTAGCCAAGCTGCGGCACCACCAAATGGTGGAAACCTCATTGGTGTCATCTCACCATGAAATGGGAGAATCCCCATCTGGTATAAAATTTTCGAAAAAGATCATGGCCCATCTTAGTTCCGCACGTTTCGCGTTTGTGTTTTGGTCGCATCTATTCGATTCTTTTCTATTGCCATCAGAATCTACAGCATTCTTCCCCTTCCACCGGGAGTCTCGGATCAAGGGGCTTGTTCACTGGAACCTAAAGCAACAAGAAATAAGTGGTTCCCTAAACACCCATTTGCTATATAAAACTATATAACATTATTCACAGGATGGGGCCCCCCAGTTATGTTTGTTGGTTTACAACCCCATCTAAATATAGTTATTTGCGTATCATACACGTGTTACACAACATTTTTTCTTATTTGCACCAACTTAGCGTTCACGAACTGGGGCCCCATCCTGTAACAGTATATAACATTAATTATAACATTATATATATATAACATATTATAACATATTATAACATATATATATATAACAATATGCATAGTCTGCATAGCAATACCGTTTTGGGGCATTTCTTTCTGGCCGTTTTGGGGATCATGGTGGATCCCAAGCCATCCAGTGTCATGCACGTGTCATGCGTGTGTCAAACACACATGTGTCTGTGTATATAGTGTAATATTCTACATGTATATATATATATATATATACATAACATTTTTTTGTACGGCAAATGCCTGGGCTTTGCCCGGACCCGCAATGACGACAGGCGACGCATCATCATCATCATCATCATCAGCAGCATCATCAGCAGCAGCAGCAGAATTAAACCCTTATTGAAGATCTTCAATGAATGTAGAAGTTTAACGGGGTTGGGAGAATTCAACCCTTATTGAAGATCTTCAATGAATGTAGAAGTTTAACGGGGTTGGGAGAATTCAACCCTTATTGAAGATCTTCAATGAATGTAGAAGTTTAACGTGGGTGGGAGAATTAAACCCTTATTGAAGATCTTCAATGAATGTAGAAGTTTAACGTGGGTGGGAGAATTAAACCCTTATTGAAGATCTTCAATGAATGTAGAAATTGAACGATGGTGGGAGAATTAAACCCTTATTGAAGATCTTCAATGAATGTAGAAATTGAACGATGGTGGGAGAATTAAACCCTTATTGAAGATCTTCAGTGAATTCAGAAGTTTAACGGGGGTGGGAGAATTAAACCCTTATTGAAGATCTTCAATGAATGTAAAGTTTAAAGAGGGTGGGAGTTTAATATTACCTAGTACCTTTGTTGATCTTCCCAATTGAATGTAAAGATTAACGGTGGTGGGAGTTTAATATTCCCTAGTACCTTTGTTGATCTTCCCAATTGAATGTAAAGTTTAACGGGGTGGGAGTTTAATATTCCCTATTACCTTTGTTGTTTTTCCCATAGGAATTTAAGGTTTAACGGGGGTGGGAGTTTAATATTCCCTAGTACCTTTGTTGTTTTTCCCATCGGAATTTTGTGAAATTGCATCAACATTTGTTTGGGAATGGGAAACCTCTACGCTGCAAAGCCTGGGCAAAGCCCAGGCGTTGCGCGTTTATGTACATATATAACATATGTATAACATATATATATATGTATATATCTATTGTATGTATATTTATATATACATATATTGTATATATATACATATAGTGTGTATGTATATATATATATTGTATATATATATACATATATTGTATATTATATATATATATTGTATATATTGTATATATATATTATATATTGCATATATATTGTATATGTATATTGCATATATATTGTATATATATATTGTATATATATATTATATTGTATATGTATATTGTATATATATATATATTGTATAAATATGTATATTTTGCATATATATATATATGTATATATTGTGTATATATATATATGTATATATCGTGTATGTATATATATTGTATATATATATATATATATCGTGTATATGTATATATATATATATTGTATATATATATATCGTGTATATATATTTGTATATATATATATAGCGTATATATATATATTGTATATATATATATTGTATGTATGTATGTATGTATGTATGTATGTATGTATGTATGTATGTATGTATGTATGTATGTATGTATGTATGTATGTATGTAGTATGTATGTATGTATGTATGTATGTATGTATGTATGTATGTATGTATGTATGTATGTATGTATGTATGTATGTATGTTGTATGTATGTATGTATGTATGTATGTATGTATGTATGTATGTATGTATGTATGTATGTATGTATGTATGTATGTATGTATGTATGTATGTATGTATGTATGTATGTATGTATGTATGTATGTATATACACATTGTATATATATATATACATTGTGTATATATATATACATATTGGATATATATATATATTATTATATATACATATATGTTTATATATTCCATGTATGTATATATATATATGATTATAGAAATATATAAATCCATCACATCGTTATCCAACACGCCCCCGCCCCATCAAAGCCGCCACCAGCTGAGCCATGCTTTCAGCCGCACCTTGCTGTGGTCCTTCAACACGCCACAACAGAGCGGCAACGAAGCCAAAACCAGCAGCAGCAGGCCCAAGGAGACACCCCCCAGGGATCCAGCGTACAAGGACGCCGTAAAGGCCGCCTGACGGGGATGAACATGTTGAGCAAGGGGGGATCCCCAAACCCATGGCTTTCAACACTTTTCAATTGTCTAATGACTTGGATGCCTCCATTTTTGTCGGAGTGCTATGACTTGAGTCTGATGGTTTTGCTAAAAATGACCATGTTCATCTGCGTTTCCCTGGAATTTTAACCTATGCCAGCTCGAATTTCTATGTTAATATGAAAAGTGCCCAAAAGTGTCCAAACATGTCCAAATTCACCAGGCCTGATGTGCACTAACATGGCACCTACCCTGCACACATCCCACTCATGGATTAACATATTTGACCTCAACATGGAACCCGTTTTTTTTTAAACGTTAGTTTTCGAGAGAGTACATCAGCTGGAAATCGAAATAGAAACATCGTTCATCGTCTCGAAAAGAGGGAGTTTCAAGTATCTATCAATAAATAACCATGGCTGACGAGCCCTGGCAAAAATCCCACTGGACCCCCATGATGTCTCAAATTCCAAATTTTGTCAGCCTTACTTTTCTTATCTATTTCCTGATTTCCTGGAAGTTCTCCGGTTTCGCCCAGTTTTGCCCCAGTTTTCCCAGGGTTTTCGGGCCGCACCTCATCAAATTGGCCAGTTTGTGTGCATGCTGCTGCACTTTGGGCCAGCAGCAGGACCCAAATTCGCATGGCCCTCTGTCAGCGGTGGTGGTCGGGGCCTGGCACATGGAAGGATGGGAAAAAAGGCGAAAAAAGGGGTAGAACTATGGGCAAATGTCGGATAATAGTGGGATAAGTGTAGGAGAATATGGGATAAGATCGTGTATCATGGAGAGTGTTGGGCAACACAAATGTTGGGACGAGAAAAATGACCCCAAATGGTTGGGCTTCGGTTCCTGGGATGATGTGTGGGCTTTCTATAGGAATTGACTAGCAAAGCCTGGATGAAGTACAATAAAACCATACAGAATTGGGATTTCATGGTCGCCATGGGGATTCATGGGGATTCATGGGGATTAAAGTGCAAAGCGTACGATGATTTTTTTTCAACAATTTTTCTTCATTCGAGTAGGATTCCCCGGGTTCTCGAGTACCTTCTCCCGGGACGGGTTTGGGGCGAGCGATCGGCAGTTTCTTGATGACGACATCGTTACGAAGAGTTCATGATGGCCATCATTGTTGGGGTGAAAAATTAGGGCTACTATTACTATATAGAAGAAAAGATTGACGATTGATGATGATTGTGCAATGAGGAGACTTCTTCATCTTCTCCGGTGATTTCTATATATCCTCTGTTGATCCAAATCAGGCAACGGAGAATCCGCAATGTGTAGGTGCCCACACAAACTAGTTCCAGCTAGGTTTTTAACGCCAAAGGGCTAGCACTGCATTCGTCAAGAGCCCTCTATCACAGGAGCCGTACTTGACCAAGTGTTTGGAAACTTGAGCACAATGGCCCAGTCCCTAATTTTTCTACTCATTGCAGGATGTTTTAAGTGATAGTCATAGTTGCATCCGAAAAATAATATCTCCAAAAAGAAACTGATTGGATTTCCTGGAAATTTCAGATGTGGGTATGTCCAAAAATTGGGTGGCCCGTTCCATCCACTGGTTAATCATCCTTCTATTAAGTATGCAATTATTTTGTGGCCATTTGGTGTATGCTCCATTTTCAGACCATGCCCTCCGCTCTCCACCTGGCCAGGTCTGCCAGTCCCGCGACCCCAAGACCCACCGCGGTTCTTTGTCCTTGAACCACCAAACAGAAAGTTGTTGGCCAAGTCATGATCCATGCCGCCCTCAAGCCTGAAAAAAAAATGGTGGGACTTGGAACCAAACAGAAAACTCAGAAACCTCAACGACCATCGACTATAACGTCGATCATGGACCCACAAAATTGGTCATGTTGAGCAAACATGAAATGTTTTGTGTCGATCCATACTCAAATGAATGTCATATGGAGTCAGGATTGCCCGCAAGTTCCCAAAATTTCCATTTTGGCTGGGCTGGTCCCTGGGCCTGGGACCCCATTTTGTCCAACAGGCCCTGACAATATCCCAGCTGACCTGGCAGCAGACCTAGCTACAGGCTACCTGAGAAAAGGGCCGCAGCCCCGTTCTGAGAGACGCTGCGCAGGCCAGATCTGACTTCAACTGGTTGGTTAGACCTGCTTCCTGACGGACTTTGCGTCGAAATAATTCCGGCCCGACCCAGTGCCCTGGGCATTGGTTCTCCAGCCAGAATTTTGAACCAAAGCTTCAAGTGGGCGTCAACACTTCCTTACATCGCTCAATTTGGAACTGTTCGCTTGGTAATCTTCATAGGTTTCTTTCACCAGAAGCTTAGGGTCCTCCACAACATGTCAAGCTCTGATGATGTCACCAAGCTTGCCATGTGAACCAAATGGTTCGAACAACTAGTAAATAAGCTGCAAATCTGCCCCGGATCTATACACAACCCCAGGGGCCAATTGCAGCAGTCAAATGTTGTCAAAGTTTCAAACAAATGTTGCTCCAAGGCAGTTCCAAAAACCACCAAATGTCCAAATGTGATAGTTGAAGGGACCAAATGTGATAGTTGAAGGGACCGAATATCTTTCCAAACGATCTCCTGCAGCCAGTGGATGCAAAAAAAACCTCCCAACAAACTAAAACGCTGCTGAAATGGAAGCAAGGACAAGGATACTCAGACACGTGTGCCGCCCCCAAGGCTCTCAGGCTGACTTCTTCTTTGCAAGTCGACGTATTTGTCCTTGCGAAACTTCAAGGTGCAGCACGGACCTTTTTGCTTGATCCACAGGGCCTCCAATGAATCCATGCATTTGCATGTTACCTGAATGACAAATGTGAAAAATGTCCAAGTGAAATCTGCAGTGACTGTCATCCTTTCGCAGGGGCCATGCATGGACAGGAGTGGACCGCCAAAAGTTTCAGACTCCTCCTTGCAAATGTGGAGCAAGGCTTGCGTTTGCATCCATTTTCCACCACGGCAGCTGCGCAATGCTTCAACTGCAGAAATCCCTTAAGGCTTCTTGGGACCAAGGTGGCATTTGGATAACGGGGAGTTGCCACCATTCCCCGGCATGAAAAGTTTTGCCTTTGGCAAAGATGGCATTTGGATAACGGGGAGTTGCCATCATTCCCCGGCAAAAAAAAAAACGTTCCTTTGGGCCTAGGTTGCTTGATAGGCCATCTCCCTGAGTTGGTTCACATATTGCTGATACCTTTCAGAAAGGTTGGGGTCCAGATAGGCTGTAGGTGAGCAGCCAGTCCATAGAAAAGGTCACGTTTCAATTCCACTGGGACTGGCTGGTGTTGGTTCACCAGATCCAAAATACACATCACACCACTTTGAAAAACAGCTGCATCACTCCACTGCTCTCTGCGGAAGCAATCGTTCAGCTCATTGCGGGATGTCATGGTGACTTGTGTAAGCTCTGGAATATCCTCTGGGTTGACTGGTTGGTCATACTCAGGATTTTCTACTTCTCCAGTTTCAGCCACAACCTGATCCATGACAATGTCGTCACCTCCATGAACAATCCCGTGATTTGGGGTCCTAACAACATTCAAATAACGTTGCATACCCATGGTTTTTGCAGCTATGAGGTTTGCGCGTTCCAAACCATACATCTGTTGACGCTGCATGGGTGTGAGGCCGTTGAAATTGGTGTAGGCTCCTATATTGATCAACCCCCACTGAATGTTCTCTGTTGAATCTGAGACCATCTCAATCTCTCCAGAAAGTTCTGTGTGTCCTGAGCGTGGACGTCTCAGGTCTGTTTCAACTTGCGCCATCTTCTGCTGAAGAGTATACACCGCTGATTCCAGAATGGCATATTGCGTATAGAGATGTTCAAAGCTCGTGTAGGCGTCATTTGCCCGTTCGAACACCCATCCCCAGAAAGCAAGCACTGCTAAAACCAAAATGCTGCACATGAAAATGAACATCCAGGAATAACCCTCGTTTTTGCAAATGATTGGGCTCAATGCTGCATTGGGCGTTGAATCCAAAGATGTCATCTCCACCAAGAGGCATAGCCGTTGCTCCCTGCAAAGGCTCAAGGCCCATGAAAACAATCACTCTCGCAATGTTCTTGGCCAGTGCGCTGATTTGCTTTCCACTGGAATACTTTTGAAATTGCACTTCATACTCCTCCTGGCCAATGGTTTGATCACCTTCTGCACGTGCCATACCAACGCAATGCAGTAACATCTGAATGCGTTTGCATGCTAAAGGCTTGGTCCCAGCATCGGCCACATTCCATAGTGTGGGTACATGTGTCAGGTGTACCTTATCCTCATGGACAACTTGCTGAATCCAAAACAGTTTCCCTGACACATGCTTCAACCGACCTGGTCCTTGAAACATGGCAACTTGCCTTGCAGAAGAAGAGTCAACCAGCAAATGGTGTTCAACGTGAGAGCCATTGAGGAATTCAATGCAACGGCGTAAATAGATTCCATCACAAAGCGCAGAAATCATGGAGTGCAACTCACTCTCACATGAGCTCAGGCTCACAACACGTTGCGTTCTGCCGCTTGCAAGAAGAAATCCACCATTCAATGTATGAACTCCACAGCTTGTTGATCGTCGATGTTGCTTGTTTCCACTCCAATCTGAATCACTGAATGTTTCAATCACCCAAGAACGATCAGAGCTTTTCCATTTTCCTTGACCTCCAATTGGCTTTTCCAAAACCATGCAAAAGTCACTTGTTGTTTTCAAATAACCAATCACCTTTCGAAACCTGGAGATTGCTGTCAAAGTTGGGCGGCTCATAGAACTGCTAAGTTCTTTGACGACAAAAAGTAGATCTGGGCGGTGTCTTGCAAGGTAAAGGAGGGCACCTATCACAGCACGAAAAGCGTGGGCATCATGTTGACCAACTTCTTCACTGACATCCTCTGTTTGGATTGAGGCGTCACAGGCAATTGTTTGGGGTCTGGCTTTTCCAAAGTTTCCCTCAAACAAGTCAATCACCGTTGAAGCTTTTGTACCTGGGATGAGACACAGGCCTGATTCCAGTCTTTTGATTTTCCTCTTCAAAAACGTGATCTCACTTTCAATGCCCTCCAGCTGTGAGTGGCTTATGTTGTAGTGCTCTCTGAGCTTCTTCAACTAGACGACGGTTGGCCCGAGAGCGAAAAAGATGTTTTTCAAGCAGCTCTGAGGATGGTAGTCGTAAAAGATAGTCGGTGAATAGTTGGTGAATTTTATATGAGCTATGGAAGGATATGGTGTGAAAAAGTAAGATTGATTAAGAAGCGGATACTTGGTAAAGGGCATCAGATGACACGTGTCTTGCAACCACAGAGAGAAAGAGGGAAGAGAGAGAGAGAGAGAGATGTGAAGAAACGCGGCGCTTTTATACAGAGACGCTTTTATACAGAGACGCTTTTACACACAGACGCTTTTACACACAGAAGCTTTTACACACAGAAGCTTTGACACGCACAGAAACTTTTACACACAGAGGCTTTTACACACAGACGCTTTTACACACAGAAGCTTTTACACACAGGCGCTTGTACACACAGACGCTTTTACACACAGAGGCTTTTACACACAGACTCCTTTACACACAGACGCTTTTACACACAGACGCTTTTACATACAAACCCTTTTACACACACACCCTTTTACACACAGACCCTTTTACACACAGAAGCTTTTACACACAGAAACTTTTACACACAGACCCTTTTACACACAGAAGCTTTTGCACAAAGACCATTTTACACACAGAAACTTTTACACACAGACACTTTTTACACACAAACACTTTCACACACAGACCCTTTTACACACAGACGCTTTTACACACAGAAGCTTTTACACACAGAAGCTTTTACACACAGAAGCTTTTACACACAGAAGCTTTTATGCACAGACCCTTTTACACACAGACGCTTTTACACACAGAAGCTTTTACACACAGAAGCTTTTACACACAGAAGCTTTTACACACAGAAGCTTTTATGCACAGACCCTTTTACACACAGACGCTTTTATACACAGACGCTTTTACATACAGACCCTTTTACACACAGACCCTTTTACACACAGAAGCTTTTACACACAGAAACTTTTACACACAGACCCTTTTACACACAGAAGCTTTTACACAGAGAAGCTTTCACACACAGAAACTTTTACACACAGAAGCTTTTACACAAACACTTTCACACACAGACTCTTTTACCCACAGACCCTTTTACACACAGAAGCTTTTACACACAGAAGCTTCTACACACAGACCCTTTTACACACAGACGCTTTTACACACAGAAGCTTTTACACACAGAAGCTTTTACGCACAGAAGCTTTTACACGCAGACGCTTTTACACACAGACGCTTTTACACACAGACGCTTTTACATACAGACCCTTTTACACACAGACGCTTTTACACACAGAAGCTTTTACACACAGAAGCTTTTACACACAGAAGCTTTTACACATAGAAGCTTTTAGACACGAACACTTTCACACACAGAGACCGGACCCGTGAAATCGCAATTTTATCGCAGTTTTTGACGTGCAACGTTCATTTCGTGCGAAAGGGTCGCGATGGACCAAGTAAAATCGCCATTTTTCCTCAGTTTTCGACGTCGAACCTCCATTTCGCAAGTAAGGGTTGCCCGTGACACCTCAAAATCACAATTTTACTTCAGTTTTTGACGTCCAACTTCCATTTCGTGCGAAAGGGTTGCCCGCGACACCTCAAAATCGCAATT